TTTTCTACACTTGTCCTTGATGAGTTCCCCAAAGTATTACGTCAAATTTTTATCACCATGTGGAACAGTAAGATTGCTACAAGACCAGGATTTATTACCTGGGATGATAGTATCAAGGTACGCAAAATGCTGCTTGCATCTGAAGGTGGTAAAACTGATATACCAACTACAAAATCAATTGAAGAGTGGGACTGCACAGCTTTGTTCAAAGCCACAATCTACGCTAAAACATTTGGTATTCCAAGCAGTCATGGATCAACTTTAAATTATTTATATTTGAAAAAAATTAAACCAGCTGCAGGCCCTTTTCATTCATCAGTTCAAAGTTCAATAGGAAATCAAGATGAAACTTATGCTTTGGCGATCGATCAACTGCGATTGTTGAGGAACGCACTTTGTCATTCACCCAAATCAGAAATAATCAAAACTGATTTTGATAATTACGTACTGTTAGCAAATGACGCTTTGTCAGCAGTTAGCGTTGATACCACTTTCGTTGATGTTATTGGTCGGATGAGCGAAGATGATTTTCCTACGCAGAAAGTTCAAGAATTACATGAATGTCGTATAAAGGAGTTACAAGCTATCAGTACGTATCATGAGAATGTGGAGCAGAAATTATCTACTATCGAACAGCAAACAGAAAAAATAGAGAATATGGAGCAAAAAGTATCTTCTATTGATGAGAAGATGAAAAACATAAGTTTTCCAGATAAGGGAAATGTAGCAGGTATGCAGTGTACTTTCAAATCCTAATCAGAGTGTAGGATACTATATTATAGTTATGAAGTAAGCTGAAGTACTATACAGTGTACTTTATCCAAAGTAGTCAGGGCTGTAGGGGATTTTCATTTGGTTCAGATTCTTCCAAAAGCAACAAATTTGGCCCAGATGTTGCCCATACCATACTTTTTTTATTTTTGGTGGGCGCCAAGGGTCGGCACGCCCCGGGACCGTCTCATTGCTGAAATCCAATATGGCCGCCACCGGGGTTAAAAATCAATTAAAGTCGAACAACCAAAAAGGCAAGAATCATGAAAAATATCATTTTTTAGGCATTTCTGGGTCGGACAATCTGATTTTGGATATTATAAATTATAGCAACGGTTTGAGGAAAAGGAAATCTAAAAAAGTACATTTAATGTACATTTTGACTAATTATATCGCTTTTCAGTGTTCAGTGACCTGAATATAGCCTTAATTTTAGGTCACAGTCACTCGTGTAATGATAAAAATTGACGATAGAAGGAGGAACAATTATTATTAACAATTTAAATTTTAAAAATGGATACTAGGTCTGCTGATGCGTCGCTAAATAAATTTTAAAAAAACCACATGACTGCTTTTGAAAAATACTGGTTTATTTAACATTATAATGAAACCTGGTTTATTTAACATTGATGTCATATAGTCGTTCACTCTGGCAACACCACAGCCCTTGCTGTACATAAGGACAACGAAGCGTTCAATCCGCTGCATGTGCACACAAGTGAGTGAATCGATACTGAAGAGGGTGGGGTCTTCCGTGAGAGCCACTAATGTGTCCGTGAGGTCCGGTAAACTGGTCCAGGCTGCCTAGGCAGTATTCTTGCCACAACCAAGGAACTGCGTTGTGTCGCACCCAGTTAAGCTGTGGAAGAGGGGTAGCGCGAGAGACTTTGATGGACCAAGGTTGGAATGCAGGACATGGACTGGAATGTCACGGTACTTTTTCCGGTTCCGAAACCAACCCAGAGCTCCGATAGGCCGAGCGTATCGAAAAACTGGACTGTCAATACTACGACGTCGCTGTCCACCGTGCGAATATAGGCTGCTGTATGACCTTGTTGTACGGCATGTGCCAGATGCAAGAGGGATCCTGGTGTCTGCCTCGGAATGGTTGCATGGCTGGAGTGTTGTAAGGTCACAATCTCTATTGGCAAGCACGGTTTCGAAGTGTGTACTTAGCATGTGAAGCTTCCTGTCCATGTCAACCTTCGAGATCTGTGTGCTGATAAATGACAACAGCTCTTTTTGTTCTCCACCTTCTTGAGAAAGCCACTATCTCATTCACGCTTCGGGATTGGAGTGCTGCCATCGCAAACTCTTGTCCGTGGGCCATTTCCGCGTTGTTGTTGTGTGAGGGCTTTAAGGTTATTTTCCTCTGGGTAATTATCCCATACAGCGTCGATGCGTTGGGTAGTATTCTTCATTTGGGCCTCCAAAAATGGTATGATGTTGAGTGACACATACTCGTTAAATGTCTTGGCCGTTGTGGGCCGCACCATGTGTATCACTGCCGCCATATCCAACACCACGACCGTGGCTTGTGTTAATTTTCAGCAGATGCACGGCCAGTCGGCGCATTGAGGCATTTGAGTACGTCAGACTTTGTCCCAGCTCGCAGTGATCCTTGATCCGCCAGGCTCGGTGGTTCGCTTTGATTTTCGAAGCGGACCAAGTCCATCATGTCGGCATCGGGACGCGACTGAAGTGAGAGGAAAAGTTGCGTTATCAAAGTCATGTTCTGCTTCTGTGTGCAATTGTCCTTCTTGCCTTTTCTCTTGGGGTCAGGTCGGTTGGCGAAGGTGAACATGTTGTTCCGCTTGATGGTATCGAATATTGGTACTGAAGCCTTTCCCAACCTTTCCGTGATATATGCTGCGTGAAGGGCTTGGCCCACTGCATGGATTTGAGATAGAGAAGTAACAACGACCTGTTCCATGACATTCTGTGTATCGAATGCAACAAGCTCCTGACGTGTGGCAATGAAAGGGTTTCACATGTGCACTACCACGTCGACAAACGATAGTACATCCTTGCAAAACTTGACTTGCAAGCTGCGCCCTTCTTCGTGATGAGCGGTGGATGAAGGTGGTGGGTCGTAGACGGCTTCAAACTCTTCAACTATCCGCGCACAATCAGGCCCGGCCAATATGAACAGTGCAAGGGCCTCTGGATTCTCATAGAGTCCAACAGCTCCGCTATGTGCCTGTAGGCTTTTGTTGGACTGTTCGTGGGCTTGATCTTTGAAATATGCGTTCGCAATCCAAGGGGGTAACACGTTTTGCCTTTGCTTTTGACAAATTTTCAGTTTTCTGAATCAATTTTTGATTTTCAAATTGTTAGGTTTCAGGATTAGGATTTAGGCAATTAGGGTGGTTTGGGGGTCAGGTTCTTTTTTAAATATTTAACGTAAAATTTGAAGTATATTTCTGCAAAATATAGTAAACAGTTGGGTTTTTTTCGTTTCGCAAAATACTGTATTCAGTTAATAGTATTCGATATTATGAAGGCATAGGAAAATGTGCTTCTACAGCTGTTTTCTTTAAGATTTTATTTAAAAACAAAATATATAATTATTCATAAAAAGCACAGGAGCCTACTAGAAACCATAAAGCGTTTTGTTTAAGGGCTCTAGTTATATATAAAATTGTTTAAGTTAAAAACACTTCTAAAAACACTTGTAAAAACTGAACATTTGTAAAAAAAATCACCAGAAAAGTTGAGAAAATACTGGTAAACTCAGAAACATAAAAAATTACTATTGCGTGTTGATCTTGACGAAAAACCGTTGCTATAATATCAAAAATGAGATTGTCTGACCCAGAAACTCCTTAAAAAGTGGTATTTTTCATGATTCTTGCCGTTGTTGGTCGATCGACTATGATTGATTTTTAACCCCGGTGGCTGCCATATTGGACTTCACCAATAAGACGGTCCCGGGGGTTGTCGACCTTAGCGCCCATCAAAAATCGAAAAAGTATGGTATCGACAACATCTGGGCCAATTTTGGTCTTTTTGGAAGAATCTGAACCAAACAGTCCATTTTATACCCTTACAGCCCTGACTATAGTTAATAGAAGAGATGGTTTGGAAACTCATTAGAATAACAATACAAAATATGTTTCTTCATCGTCACGTGCGTATATTGTATTTTCACCAATTCCACCAATAGCAATTTCCAATTTACCCAATTCACAATTTTTCAAGTCACGGATAGCTAACTTTCCTAAAACATTGCTATTGGTTAGTTTGGCAAAAATACAATACGCACGTATCAATGAAGGAGCATATTTCTTAATAAACCTAAGCAAAAACATAGATAATGAGTTATTAACTATATACTTTATCCGTGAATTTATGCTTGTGTTTGCTTCTTACCAAGGACGGCATATAGTGAGTTTGGGGTAATTTTTCGTTTACTCATGGTTAGTTATGACGTAATATATGAACAACGACAGCAAGTGTTTCATCAGGATATCCAAACACGAGAAAACAATGTATGAAAACACGAGCGCGAAGCGCGAGTGTTTTCATACATTGTTTTCGAGTGTTTGGATATCCCGGTGAGACACGAGCTCGAGTTGTTTATATGGCTTCTCAAATGAATCGAGACGTAACAGAATGTTTTCGTTTGCTGATTTGAATAGAATTCTTAACCAAGCATAACGTAATTAGGAATTCTATTCAAGTAATTTTGCAAGCGTAATTAAGATATTTGATGAAAACACTAGTGACTTTCATCAAGTTTTACCGGGTTATCCAAATGGCATCTTGTGATCAAATAGGTGATTATCATGGGCTGAATTACTCATGAATTATTAATGAATTTGAGAATTATGAATCCCATATTTTAAAACTCGCCTTCTCTTCCGTAGTGGGAATATGTTGTGGACTGTAGTAGTATGGTATATCGTTGTCTATTCAATATTTGTATAATTTTATCTCTTCTTCTGTCGTATCCAGCTAATTTAATTATAAGATCGTCCTTTCAAAGTCAAAACCGCAAACCTCGTGCACGTTCATTATGTTTTTTTGCGCTTAGAGGTCGACGTTTTGTGTTTGTGAGTAATTGTGATATTCAGAGGAAAGCGTTAATACAATACAATTGGCCTCACCTATATGTTAAACGTACTATTAGCTACATCAGCTACAAGTAAAAGCATCCTAGTACATTCCTATTTACAGTAAAACCAATTTGGCTAACAAGATATTTTATTTCATTATTTTTTGCCTAGTCACATTGCCGAAGCCACATACTCCAAGTGCTGTTCCACTGTTTACTGGCAGAGAATTTGAAATTGAAGAAATAACAAACTTCATGACTGACAAATTAACACGACTGTTAAACATCTGGGGATCTCCTGGATTTGGTAAAACATCCACAGCTATTGAAGTAGCACATCGCCTTTTGTTTCTCGAGTATCCTGTTTATTTTTTTAAATTGCAAGGTATAACATCAGTAGACGAATTACTCTCACAAATCTTAAGTATTTTTAAGAGTTCCTTAGCAGATCTTAGTCTAACACCTGTAGACAGGCTAGTAAGTATTTTTAGAGAAATTTCATGTCCAATTTTTCTAATATTTGATAATCTTGATGATATTCTTTCGCATGTAACTGATGCTGTGACGAGACTCTTTCGCATATTTGATAAATTTTTAGATAGTAATAGTAACATAAATATACTATTTACAACAAGGGAGCTTTTAGCAACAATGCGCGATCAGGTAGAAGGATTTCAAGACGTAAGAATTCGACCTCTTAGTCCTGCCTCGTCTGTTGAATATGCACGCCAACTTCTCCCTTCACTTTCGGATAGTGTTGTTGCTAAGGTGGCCAGAATTTCTTCCCATGTTCCTCTGGCAATGAAACTCGTTGCTTCGTTAGTTGAAAATAACTCTGAAGAGATGGCGAATAATATACTTGAGGAATTAAATCTTTCTGAAAATCTTTTAGAGCAGTTGGATAGTCCATACGAGAAAAAGATGCAAACGTTATTCGACACTCCTTTTGAGCAGCTGGCATTAAATGACAAACATGCGCTGATTTCATTAACCGTATTTTCATCTGCTACAGTGAGTAAAGATGCTGCGATTGACGTTGTTTCTGGAGAAACGGGAGTTAAACTGGAAGCTGTACGAAGCCTCAAAACACTTGTGAAGAAATCGTTAATTGATGAAGATCCCAACGGAAAATATTACTCTATTCATCCCCTCATTTATTCTTTTCTCGTGGATAAAGCAAAACGAAGTGATTTTGAAAACGCTTTCAAGTCCTCTAGAATTCGCTTTTGTAGGTATTACTTGCTTCTTTTTGAGAGGTTAAATGACGATTTTCTTTCTGGAAAGTCGGTGGACAGTCCTCAACTGCAAGACACATTGGTATATCTATCAACTGCCATATATGAATCTATCACAAATGATCTCGAAAATTCTCAAGATCTTTTTCGCATCCTATCAAAATCTGAAATATTCTTATTTTTAATTGGTATTCCCTTCGGTAGATCACTGGATATACTAGATATTCATAAAGTGTATGATTTAGCTGTTGAAACATGCAGCACCCAATACACTTACTCCACGTACCTGAAGTTGCATGTCAGCAAATATTTTCAAGCTATTGCCAAAACCGACTCTTTCTTGTCTGCACATTCAGACATACCGGAAGATGTACGTAAAGACGTCATGTTGTTAACGGATGGTAGTGCGGCAAAACTAGGTTGCTATGAAGGCATTCTCCGTATTTTGAAAGGAAATGTCAAGGCAGGTGTTCAACTTATTGAAAAACATCTTGATGGTTTACAAAAATGTGCTGATCAACAACTTATAAAATGCTTGTGCCTGCAGCTTCTTGCCCTCTTTTATTCTGATTTGAAAGAATATAGCAAATCGAGCAACTTCAGTAGAAAAGCTATCGAGGTTTGTGCAGAAGTTGATAATTGCAGTCTGTTTCTAATTCGTGATTATGACCAAACTTGTTCTGTGACGGCGAAAAACGATCCAGGTGAGCAGTTAATAGTATTCATTCATTTTTTAAACTCACTGTCGAAAGAAGCTGCTCAGGCAAAGTGGAACACTTAGCTTGGTTTCCATTTTGTAACAGCAGTCGTGTCCATCTCGTGATCGCTGATGTGAAATAGTTTGGATCTACTGTGGTCTTTGCTTGCTGTATGCAATCGACACTAGTATTTATGCTCCAGGGTGCTCTGGTTTGCTGTGATGAAGATCCGGCTTTCGGAACAAATCAATTATAGTTATTTAATTAAACCAAACTATTTTACATCGATCGCCTTGACATGCATGGACATGGTCGTGACAGGCGAGACAAAATGTAAGCCATGCAGGGTTTTATGTTACGAAAACGCGCACCTGCCTGATAATGCAGTAAATATTTTATTGAAACGAAAGCAATGTTTTGTAACTTTTTATCTCCAAAAGTTGTTTCAAAACATGTTCATATCGAAAACAGAGTTGGCAATTTCTCGTCCCGCCTAGCCAAAATATTTGCATGTGATGCCGGACTCTCGGGTCTTGATTACAATTCGACTGGGCTTTGTAATCATTTATTTAAACCAGAGTAGCGAGCGAAACATGATTGATATACCTGGTTGCAGTGAACGAACAAACTTTATAAGAGTTATATAGTTTGTTATGAGTTGCAGTTGTTTCTTTGGTCGCCATACATTTTTATTTGAAGTATAGTTAAGTAACTCTCACGTATTGTTCATTAATTGTACCGTATTGTTAATTAATTGTTGTAATTTGAGGGACGCTGGAACGATAAAGGGGGAAGGGGCAAATTGTTGTCAGACATGCGGCGAAAACTATATGCCTGATATTAAACTAGACTGCGAGTAGTCCCTCCTTTCCGTGGGTTTAGATTACCGGGCGTGCGAAGGGATGACGAGCCGCACGGGTTTAAACAGGATTAACTTTTAGGTGTTGCTTAACGCAGCATTAATAGGAAAAGTGTGAAAGGTGTTGACATTTGTTTCCAATTAATAGCCTGGATTATTTTCCTTTGCATGTAATTTAATGCCAAGTAATGAGATGTAGTTTAATCATTGAAAAATATTAAATAATCTAGTTTATGAAGCGACTTGTCAAGTTGTCATCACCAATTACTGCATGTTAGAACTTCAGAATATAAGTTTACAAAATTTTGGGCGCCAAATTCAATTGCGCCAAATCATCTGAAGCGAACAGCATGTCAAGCAATCATGGCGTACAAACGCGTTTACTCAGACAAGCTTCATACTCTAAAAAACTGGTATGCCTACTGGTATGCCTTTATCTGTCGTAACGAAAGACGCTCTATATAAAGGCTATAAGCCATGGCCATGGCCCAACGTGTTGGTTGACAAAAATATCAGCGAATTTGGTAAGACACTTTTTACTAATTTACATTTATTTTACAATAGTCATACACATATATTGCTATTTTTATGCTTATTGACTCTGTAATCCAAATCGGTTTCTGTATTCTATCCTTCTTACACATGTGCCAACCTCAACTACATGCTGACGAGTCCATGAGACCATGAAGGACGAAACGCCGCGTACAGGGATATTGAATTTTACAAACATGACTATCTCTTTCTCTCGCTCTATATATTTTACATGCCTCCAGTA